ATTTGCCATTAAGGAGACAAGATGCCATCTCCATCCATCCATCCATCTTCTTCCACTTTATCCGGGGCCGGGTCGCGGGGGCAGCAGCCTAAGCAGAGAAGCCCAGACCTCCCTCTCCCCAGCCACCTTCTCTAGCTTGTCCGGGGGAACACCAAGGCGTTCCCAGGCCAGCCGAGAGATATAATCTCTCCAGCGTGTCCTGCGTCTGCCATGGGGCCTCCTCCCAGTGGGACATGCCCGGAACACCAACCCCAGGAGGTGCCCAGGAGGCATCCTTGTCAGATGCCCAAACCACCTCAGCTGGCTCCTTTCGATGTGGAAGAGCAGCGGCTCTACTCTGAGCCCCTTCCGGATGGCTGAACTTCTCACCCTATCTCTAAGGGAGAGGCCAGCCACCCTTCAGAGGAAGCTCCTTTCCGCCGCTTGTATCCGCGATCTCGTTCTTTCGGTCACTACCCACAGCTCGTGGCCATAGGTGAGGGTAGGGACGTAGATCGACCGGTAAATTGAGAGCTTCGCTTTTACACTCTGCTCTCTCTTCACCACGACGGACCGGTGCAGCATTCGCAGCACCAATCCGAATCTGGGTACTGCCCCTGATCTCCACGCCCTGAGGCGTGTCAACCAGGACAGCCCTAATGTCCAGAGCCTTCAGGAACTCAAGAGACAAGATGCAGTAGGGATAAAAGAAAACTAGTCTTCCCCCCAGGGACTCTTTAAAACGGCGGCCGGAAGGCAACAACTCAAACTCACTGTGAAGTGGATGGTTCAAACAATTAATAATAGAATGAGCCTTTCTAAGCACATTTCTATTGTAAATGGCCAAAATTCCATCTTGCCAGCGCCCTGAAATTTTGCTAGCAGTTTTTACCAGAAGTCCCAACCGATTCTTATTCTTCACCATCAGGTTACCAAACCAGGCAGCGATGCAAAAGGACATCACAGATTCGCTAAAACTTCTATAAAACAAAGACAACATCTCAGATGAGACATTAAAAGATCTAATTTTCCTTAAAAAGAACAGTCTTTGTTGAACTTTTACAGTTTACGGTCAAGTACCACACCTAGATATTTATAACTCTCAACGATCCCAATATCAGCAGTTAAAATAAAAAGATCTCCTAGTTAGTGATCATCAACTGTGTATTACCAGGGTGTGTGCTTAGGGAGAGAGGGATTTCCCTCCCTCTGCTTGATTATTTTTTATCTCCTGCGAGGATAAATATTCAACCCCCTCCCTCTGATTTTTAGCTCTTGAAACAGTCAACAGCACGAACATCAGTCAAATCAGAAACTGACTTTGACTTTTAGCACTTGCAATCTGTAAGAGCAGAGATGACGCTGTTTGGGGAGATCATCCAGATCTCATTCTGCTTCACCGTTTCATGAACTCACTAAGCACCGCTGTTTCAGAGTCAAAACTATCGTTAACTAAATAAAAGAGAAGTGAAATGTATTCAGAGTGGCAGGAAGCTCACCAAAAATCCTAGAAGTATTCCTGCTGTGTGTCAAACAGTTGCCTGTTCGTTGACTTTTGAATTCGTGACAAAGTTTAGTTATGCAGCTTCTTCTTTCAAATTGTTAATTTCCAGCACCGAAGCTGCTAACTGCAACATCCTGCAGTTATAATGGACATCTCTAGAAGAAAATACATTCACATTCTGTTGGCTTTGTTGGCTGTGAAGGGCTGAAAGAGATTAGCAGCCACACTCCTGTGTTTAAAAAAAAAAAAAGAATAGAAAAAAATAATCATTCACAAGTTTGAATCTGCAGTTCGTGAACACATAGTTATTCCATTTTTACAAATATATTAAGTCATAAACTCTAAAGTCCTGCTCCTGATATTAGCAAATGGATGTTTCCTTCTTCCCTGTATGGAGTTAAAAAGGGGTACTTTGTAGGAAAGCCAAAGGCTGTTTTCTCCTGAATCTACTGTAGAGGAATATTTATTATTTTTTAAACGGCAGCACATTTTATTTTGACAATTTGTTTCTCATGTCATTTTCACACAATTTTCCCCAGCTGTGTCCACTTCCCCTAATTAACCCTGTGTGTATAAATAACTTCCACCTTTCTTGTCAGAGTGTCTGTGATCCTGTCCCCCTGCCCCACATGTGGATTTAGTTTTGCCTTGACTTTGCAAACAGCTTCAATAAACAGGTTTGCTTTATGCTTAATCCAGTCCTGTCTCCTGGGGCCTTTACCTGTATGTCAATTATGGCATGTTAAACTGTTTGCACTGTTATGTTTCTCTGGATCCCCTGTGTCTTAAGAGGAAATTGTGAATAGTACTCATAATAGTATTTATTTATTTTTTAAAAAAGGTAATAGCACCCCTTTATTTTTTATTTTACCCTTTTTTTTATATTGCACTGAGGCAAAACCTGTATAATTCCTTACAATAAACTGGAAATCGGAGCTAATGAAAAACGATATACAATTTTGTTTCAGGCTCTATAGTGAGTAGAAAGTGGTCCTAATAGTGTATGAAGGTGATTCAGCCTTCTGGTGGGGCCGCTAAGCTGGAACTACTGGCATCTGAAAACATAGATGCATGCATGTATATTTTATTCAGTGTGTTGGTTTGCCTGTCTGTCACCCAGTTTGCTCCAGCAGAGTGAAAAATCTCAACAACTGTAGGCTAGATTGTCATGACATTTGGTGCAGTTGAGCTCAAAGGAGAATTCTTAATGACTTTCTGCAGAACCAATATTAGATTTCTGTTTTTGAGTGAAATATTAGATGAATTCCAATAATATTTGAAACAGGCATACTTCCCCAAGCCCCAAAGCTACAATAGTTATCCACAATAGCTGGCAATTCCTTACCTAATCATCCAGGGCAATTACCAGATTGAAATACGTAACATACAACACCTGATCTTACAGGATGTTTGCAATGTGTTTTTGTATTCTGTTCAATTTCCTGCTGTGTAAAGTGCATTAATATTAATGCACATAGGTATTTCTTTCAGTATGCAAGATGGATGTAAGAGTGGAAGGTGTGCTGACATGTTATTTGGACTATGGCCATTCTGGTGTGTCATTTCTGAGCGTCAGTTGGGTGGAGTTGAAACCTGTCTTTTCTGACAACCTCATCTCATCTGTAAATACTCATCCCACTGATGCACGGTTTCATGGAATTAATGAGGCAGCTTCATGTGCTGATGCATGTGAAAGGAGAGCTCCCTTCAAATTGCTTTCCTTTATTGCCTCCCCCCCCGTTTGTCCTCCCTCCCCCAGAAATCACATTAGCCAAACCAATCTCATTTACAACATGCCATTTGTTAATTCAGCCCCCTGCTCCGACCCTATAGGAGATGCTTTGTTTTTTACGTCAAAGAGTGGATGAATTTCAGGAAAAACAGAATATTATAGTAAGAAAGAAAGAACACAGAGAGCACATCGACACTGTAGTGGAGTGTAATTCATCAACTACAACGTATTGATTAACTGATCATTTACTCTGAAATGCAGAGCATATTGTAAAAGTTAAGTTTGGCCAACCGCCCCCTGTAAATGCAGGTATCAGCATAAACAGACAAATCAACTTGTTGTTCAAGTTCATTTTGCACCAGCTATAAACTGGTGTGGAAAAGAAGGAAAATGCAGTGCATTTACTCTGTGAAATTGGAGTTTGAGATGTGATCAATGCAGCATACAGAATGCTGCATGAAATTAGTTGATCATTGGTCCTTTTGTAGTTCTCTATCAGTGCTACATCTGCTTGCAAGTTTGTGGTAATTACTGTGCTGTGGCTAAGGTGACGACTTGGACACAGGGGGGCAGACAGCAATCAGCTGTCTCCTCCTAGTTATTGCCTGCGCCTTCCACACCAGCGGCCTTTATCTTTGCTCGTCAGAGGCAGCGACCAACACGAGGCCAGTTATTACCGCAGCAGCGACCATGATAAGATCAAAGGAGCCTGGTTGAACATGGAAGATGTAATGACTGTTCTCTTCTAAGCACTGCTTCACAGAATGTCATGTCATCACCCCCCGTTAACGTTCATGTTTTTTTCTTCCTTTACAAGTCTTTCAAAGATGCAGAATGAGGACAGTCTTCAATTATTTTGATGTAGGGGGAAAATTACCGAGCGCTGAAATTTCAGTGAATGAAAATGTTCCTTTCACCACACTTTTTTTTCTTTTTGTTCTCCGGTGTTTTACTTTAGAGCAGCTTTCACGTGGCATCTATCTTCCTCTTCTGCTTCCTTTTCTACTTGATACATACGGCTACATTTGTGCCAAAGGTTTGAAAAAGAGCGGCTTGGCATGTTGTAAAAGAACTGGAAGTAACTTCATGTGACAGACGAGAATGCAGAAAGCAGCTGCTGACATACTGGAAGAAGGGGAGGTCATGGTTTCTCACTATCTCAGTATCCTCCCACAGACTGTGACCATGAGTAATGGAAGCGATTGCAGGGGGGGGAAAGGGTGGGACGCAGGTAGAAGTGGCATGAAAGCTGTAGATACTGGAGAGGGAAAAAAATGGACACAATTTGTCTGAAATGGTGCTTGGTGTCAAGTTGTTGCCCTTATTTTTGTTTGCAAAACAAGACTTGCCATACAAGATACTACGGTGTGTTTGCTAATTCTGTTTAACTTTTGCAGAATTTAATTTAAACTCACTAACCCTGACTCAGCTAGCATGCCATCTGTCATCCTGGTGTTACGACTGCTAATAGAATAAATCTGACTTGTAAACTTTTTCAAGCATAGACCATCCAGCAGCGTTCGACGTTTCTTAAGTGTTGTGCTTAACCTTTTCAGTCTCTAATGTTTCAGCTGCTGGTTCTTCTCATTTTTTTCCGTTTTCCTTCTTCCTAATTGACTGTTAGCAGGAGTTGCCACGTTTTCTTCCATATACACACACACACACACACACACACACACACACCCACCACCACCACCACCACCACCATTCTGGGATAGGCTCCATCCATTCCTTGTCGTGCTCATAGATGGATGGACTTTTGACCAGTATATTTCTGTGTTTCAGGGTCAAGCTGAAAGATGGAGTGGCGTTCTTGGGAGCTAGAGCCAGTAACCCAGTTATGTGGACGGTGAGTCAGGATGTCAGAAGTGAAGGTCACAGAGTTGTCACCCTGCACTGCCACAGGAAGGAGAACAGCTTCAGTCAAAGGTCCGTCTGACTCCCTCCTTCTACTGAATTAATGAGTGTGTGACTGAAATAATAACCTTACATCCCTGCTGAACAACCAAACAGCAACACCCCGCTTGGTTTCTCAGGTGCTGAAAGAGTGATTGCAAAAAAAAAGAGTATGAAGGAGAACATGATTCAGCATGGGAAATATTAATCTTTGGCACTGCCATTCATGCAGGTTCTCAGCTAGTCCCAAGTTTAGTCAATAAAATGAATTGTTTGAGGAACATAAAGTCTCATGTATGCTTGGACTTAAAGGATAATTTTGGTAATATCTGATATTTTTCTTTCTGTCTACATACCATTAGATACTTAAAAGGATATCTGAACATGTAGCATTGTAACTGCACATTAAAGGCATTCATCAAAATGCATATACTTTGTCTGCAAATGCAACAAAAGCAAATGTTACACTTAAGTTTATTTTCAGCATGTTTTGCATAGGTACAATTTCTTTTAGAGGGGTTCAGGTACTGAGCACTTCGAAAAACCTCAGCCAACCCTAAATTTAGTATTGGACTTAAACACACATACATAGTCACACTGAGCATCTCAGCACACTACACCTTCTGTGTACACACAGCTTATTGAAATCCACTGTTACATAATGCATGATGCGTTAAGTATCAGTCAAACATGAACAGTCCTGCTATGGGAAACCAAATGCACAACTGAAAACGGTGAACAACAAATATCGTTTTCCAGTTAACATCTTGTACTATAGCAAACTTTCAAGTCTTATAAAATTAATTGAATGTCAAGTATACATACATTACATTAAGCAAGTTATTTAGACTTTGTTTTACTGCAGACACCTCTCGAGATTTCACGTTGTTGCAGTTTGGTATTGATGCTTGATCCTTTGCAGCTTCTATCCAAAAATGTCTATAGCATGGTGTGATACTCTAATTACAAGCAGAGACAACTAGTGTTACATTTAAAGAGGATTCAAGAAATATCAAAGAGCTGTTAGTATAAAAATCAGATTTCCAAGACAATAAGATAAACTGACACAGATGTGTAAGTATTATTGGACGTGTTAAAAACATTTTGAGATTGTGAAACCTTCATGTGCTGGTAACTAGTAATGATGCTCCACTTAAGTGGTTATCAGGTAAAATGTATATAAATATTATATACTTTATATGCTGAAATCTAGCAAACCTCTAATTTACAACTATACAATGCAATTACTTAAAAGTATTTACAAGAACAAACTTAGTTAAAGTCATTATGTGTCAAAAGGATTTAAAGCACTGCATGTAGGTGATTGTTGCTCAGAGGTCGCTGTTTTCAATCAGTGAGTGATAACTGTGCGTGTCTCTGTGCGTGGCAGTCTACAGTACTTGACATTCACTTCTGCAGCTAAATGGCTTTAGGAAAAGACAAAGTAGCTCCACACAGGAAGTGACACACCCCACTGGCTGGGTTGTTATTTCCTCCTGGGTGTCAAGGTGACGGCTGTGATGAAAGACAAGTCATCTATCATTTACATATTTCTCTTTCACAGCCCTGCTGAGGGGAAGATACAGTGAATTATACAGGACCGCTCATATCAAGGTCATACATGTTGACTGCGTACTACACCTTGCAATTCACCACTCAGCAAAAGACTGCCTTGAAGTATTGAAATGACCACGAACCTGGGATTTCAAGTTTTTTGGGTTATTCATCAAATTGAGTAATGTGGAAAATCTGTAACTTATTTAGTGTTCTGTTATTTACTACACATGTGCATGAAATGACCATAACTGTAATTAAGAAAATCTCTTTGAGGGTTGTAAACTGGTAGACGGCAGCTGTCATGTTTTTTTTTTCTATTTTATTGAAAAGATAAAAATATGTGGAATACATAAAAAATATAGGTATGTAAATAACATAAAATACACAAATCACAGTATGCTTCGTCTCCTGAGCAGGGGGATCCTATTGTCCACTGTCTCCCAGAGGTTTTTCAAATAAACTTCACTGGTCCAAGTCCCTAAATACGTATCTAATATTTAACTCTCGTACTTGCTTTTGACATACTTTTTTCGTACTCATCAGTAGTATGTTCATAGTCAGGGAGACATTGTATTTGACTGGATTGACTAAAAGATATTGGTCAGATGTCCGTCAACCTACTTTGCTTAGCATTAAAACAGAATCAGTAGGAGAGCTTCAAAGATGTATACCCCGAGGATGATGTTGGGGCAGTTCGATCTCAGTAGAGAGTTTGTGTGTTTTTGTCACTTCATCTGCCCACTTTCATTGGAGGTCACGAAGCAACACCACATTGCCTCCAGCAGTGTTCCCTGTGTTTTCTTGTACACATTTAGCTTTAGTCTTTCCTGCTGTTATAATCTGTGTCATTGCATACTACTGTCAGTAAAAGTTTTAAACATTTGGTGCCTAAAGGAGCAACTTTAATCCACCAGTTGATTAAAGTTGGAAAGTGTATGCAGATCTTCCCACAATATTTATTTTGTGCCAAAGCCAATGTAATACCAATGTCAGTGCACAGGGGAGGTGAGTCCAAGCGAGGTGAAGAAGAGATGCAGGCAGGGTGGAGTGGGTGGAGACGAGTGTCAGGGGAGATTTGTGACAGAAGCATGGCAGTGAAAGGAAATGTTTACAAGATGGCTGTAAGACCTACTATGATTTATAGTTTGGAGGCATGAGGCTGAGCTGGAAGTGGCAGTTAAAGATTTTCACTGGGAGTGACCAAGATGGACAGGATTAGAAATGAGTATATCAGAGGGACAAATCAGGTTGAGCAGTTTGGAGGCAAAGTTAGAGAGGCGAAGCTGAGATGGTCTGAAAACATGCGGAGGTGAAATAGTGGATATGCTAGACAAGGATGTTGTTATGTAGCTTCCAGGTAGGAGGAAAGACCACAGAGGAGACTCATGGATGTAGTGAAGGAGGACATGCAGAGGGCAGGTGTGACAGAAGAGGATGCATGTGATAGGGTGAGATGGAGGCAGACCCCTAAAGAGACCAGCAGAAACAAGAAGATTTAATGTAATATAAAACCTTACAAAAGTTATAATAGCAAACATAGATTTTAGGGAATTTAGATGAAAGCATTTTTCCCTCTTAGGTAATGAAAACTGACAATGTAGCCACAAAAGAGGAAGAGAGAAATCTCTGCAGCGCCATGATCTATTAAAGTCAAAGGTGGACTTGGAAGCTATTTGGAGAAGGCACAGATAATCGTGATCAATAGAGATTACAGAAATAAGCAGTAACTGTTAATGTGTCTACCCTAAACAAGTAGGGTAGAATCATGAGGTCTCAGGTCCAGTACATTTCAACTCACCATGACAAAATAACTGATATACATCAGACCTTAAATCAGTTTAAAAACTTTTCTTTTTCTTTAGAAGCACATAAAGTTGTCATCAAAGCATTCAAACAGTAAGCAATGTGCTTATGTGCAAACCACTTTAGAATAAAAATCACATTTTAATCACACGTTCATACATTACTTTGTTCAATATATGTTTATCCTTATGTTTATCCAAATGAGACCAAATCGTCATGACCTGAGCAAAATCCTTATGCATTATGCACACCAGTAAGGACTAAAGTAAAATATCACAGCATTATAGTCACAGGGGGACTGTATGGAAAAGGTTTACAGATCAAGTTAAAAAAAAGTACATCAAAACATAACTTCACCCATTTGTTCAAAACCAATAAATTGCATAGCTATTGGAAATGTTCCTCTCACTGTGTTCTATTCAAGCCTTGTTTTCATTTCTGTTGATCAACGTGAGTGACTCATTCATTAAAGTTCTTCTTTTTTGGTAAAAAAAAAAAAAAGAGTCGGTCTTGATAAGTGTTAAACTTCTATCTGCTCCTGTCTGGATAAAGTACGTACAGGTGTAAACTTTAAGACAATAACCTTCTTCATGTGAGTTGGCAGTACTAACTATTGCCCTGATGCCCAAAGCAGGTTGATGTGTTAGAAAGTGTTTCTTGTTTTGATTTTAAGAAAAAAAAATTATTGATTCAGCTTCTCTTCTTAAGGTAAGAAAAAAAGAGCAGCTGTGGAGCAAATAGAAAACCCTTTAAAAATATCCTGTTTTTTTTAAAGAATTTCAACTTGAAGTGACGCTACTTGATGTACATAAACTATCATACTTCCCTAATACCATAAATTGATCTTTCTTTTCTGATAAGAAATAAACTGTACTTGTCAATCTGTGCGATAATCTGTGTGATAAGTCATTTTTTTATTTTATAGGTTTGTATGTTTTTGTAAATCATCACTCAGCCGCAGCAGTAATCTTCATACTTCAGTTTACCTCACTGTCACAACTGTCACAACCCCTTCAGACACTTTTTGAATGTAAATCCCAAGTGGAAAACCTATGGACGTCACTGCTTTGTAACTAGGTCTTACTCGCCACAGCAGGGCTCTCTATCTCCAATAACTTTGCGGGAATAGTCCCACACTATGTTCATGAAATTAGAAAAAAGTGCCTCTAATTTATGATAGGTTTGTAGCTTAAACCTATTCACTGGAACGTTGAAGACAATTTAATTACACAGCAAAGCAAGACACAAGTACACTATACACCAATTTTTATATACTGCAGGAAAAACGAAAATAAATATTATAGTGCAAATTTGCAAAAAAGCAGCATATGCATCAAAATAAACTTTTCAGCAGTGCAATATGAGTCCTAAGCATCCCAGAAACGACACAGAAAGTCATAAAGTCAAAGATAACTTTTAAAAACACCAGTATAGGCTTATGAGGTCCTGATGGTAAAAAACTACATTTCCGCAAAATGACGTCACTTCCGGTTTCGGCCAGGTCATGGCGAACATGTGATAGTTCACGCTGATGGACGTAGGAAGTGTTTCAAACAGCTGATCGGATCGGCAAAGCGTGTTTCTGGAATATTATGTTTTTGTTGATGCAAGTGCTTTTTATGCAGTTTTTGCAAAGCTATATGTGGAAGGAAACTGTGACCTAGGACAAGCTGATGGCATAAG